AGAGAGAGTATTATAATCCACATAACTTACACCCTACCACAGCACACACAAAGGATTTGTGCATAACCAGTTTGGATATTATTAAAGAGAAGTACTTGTGTGAAATTGTCAATCTGACATCAGGCCGAAAGCTATGGACCAAGTGCTGAAAGCATGCAACCCAAGCTAAAAGTTTCCTTACCAGTACAAAAAGTCTTCACAGCAGTAATAAAATTTCTCTAATGTAATGCAGGTAGTATTTGGGAAGGCAAAGACATTGCATTTTAAACTATGCTTACTGCAAAATAAATGAAAATGAAGAGGGTGAAACTACAATGACACAGTATAATGAATGAATACTTCCCAATATCACCAGAATCTAAAGTTGATTTTTGGCACACACACAGAAGATGGTGTGAACTTCTGTACTTCATTTTACAACCTAATACCATCAGAATCCAAGGTTGATTTTTGGCACACACACAGGAGATGGTGTGCACTTCAGTACTTCATTTTACAACCTTTATTTTGGACATCCTATTGAAGCTGACAGTCCAACTGAGGTCAAACGTCAACAATACAAAGTCAAATTTCTGAATGTTAGAAATATTACATATTTGGCTATAATACAAAGATTTCAAGCAATAGTTTTTTTTTTACTATAACAGTAAAAAACAAAATATAGGTACTTTTACGACATTAGTCTCATATGAGAGCTATTCTGAGTCAAATATTTGGTGGTCTCTTGCATAAAAATGATTTAATCTAGAGACACAAAACTTGTGGAAATCTTATATATCTATGAAACGAAACATCATCAAAATCCACGAGCCTCCAGTTCCAAGTGATTGACCTAACATGGACTGACTCATTTTAGAATTCAAGTACGTTATAATGTCATTGTTTTTAGTAGCAATTGTGGGTATTTACTGCATCAATGACACAAGTTTCTTCATATGGATAGTTAAAGACAATATTACAGACACATCATTGAACCAGTACATAAACATAAACACGATAAGTTTTTTAAGTCTAGAGATATATAGCTTAAAATTAAATTTTCATTCAGCAAGGAACAATTGAATGAATAAAACAAGAACATTAGCCAGTACATACATTAAAATGAGGAATATTGTCTTTTTGAATTATATGATAGCAGGTATGCATATAATTAAAAAAAACAAAAAAACAACAACAACAACACAAACAAAACTTAAAACCCGATACATGGAAGATGAGAAAACAAAAACTAGTAATTAATTCTATAGATGAAAAAAGATAAAAAAAATACCTTCAGTACTTAAGTATTATGCAACTTTAAACTGTGGTGATGATTAACCCCTTCCATGTTAGTTTTTTAGGTTTGTTTTTTTATTTCACATTTTGATAGCCTATTATAATACATGATAACATGTGAATAAATTTAGAAAAATAATGAAAAATATGGCAAGAAATGGTTTGCCCGAATCAACTCGGGCAAATAATGCAAGGGGCAAAATGTTATGGTGTTTTTAAGTACTCATTCTAACTGCAACTGAACTGAAAAATATATTTTAAGAAATGCATTCTACTACTTATTTTGATGTAATTTAGACTGAAACAGAAATTATCATCTTTAAAGAAATACGATTAGTAACATAAACTCATGTCCTCTCCATCCTCCCTGATTACTGAAGTGCAAAAAATATGGAAGTGGGGAGGGGACTATTACAAATCAGGGGAAAATATTTTAGTCGTATCCACTGAAATATATGTTAACACTAAGAAAAAACATGAAGAATTTTAAAAATATTTTCTATTAAAAATCTATTACGTTGGTTTAAAAACCTTCAGTAGTTCTGAGGTTGATAGATCACAAAATCCTTTTTTATTTTATGGAAAAGTAGACCATAATATTAGGTCGTTTATTTCAGTAAATTTTTTTGCACAGAAATATATAGTAGTATGTTAAAGTGTTTCAAAAATGAACTTCATTGACTGTTTTTATCTCTTTAGATTATTCAAATTAGATAGGTATTTGTTTTAAAAGCCAAATCAGTGTTGCTTAGGGTATCTTGATAATCAGTGTTTTAACAGCAGTTTGTACTTGACACATTAACAGCTGTCTTACGTGGTTACTAATGAAGTAAGCCATAGTCCTCTGTAAATGTATGTATTTGGTCTTAAATATGCTATTTAGTACTGTATCTGAAAACAGTACATATTTTGAAGTAAATTATTCATTCTTTTCATGTGTCATGTTTTCTTGACAAATGTAGAAAACATGCCACATGGATGTTTTAACTTGGTGTGCTTATCTAGTTTTGGATAAGAGATATTCTCATACTTAGTGCACATAATGAATTTCATGCTTGTTTCCAAGCACAGTAACTAGTGTGTACTTTTTACAGCACTTAAAACAACATTCGTACAAACCTAGAATGTATGGAACCATGAGTGCTACTCACATTACATTTTCACGGTCAGTAACTTACATGTAATTATCAATTAAAAACTATTGGGTCAGTAACCACTTACACCATTCTTTGTGAATGTGAGCTCTAAAATCAAAATTAGGAACACAATAAACATACAAGATTACAATACTGATCTATCTGCAGTAGCTGATAACCAAATACCATAACCAAATGGAATAACAATAAAATAATGTGATACGAACCATACACAACACAGAAAAAGATAAAGGATGTCTTCTACATACAACTGATTGACAACACACACTGTTGACCTGGTACAGAAGTCAATAAAACCTGGACATCCCTCTTGAAACCATCCAATAAGTGGCTGAAGTCCCAATGGAGTGAGAACCTGAATGGATCTACAGCATCCCTGTCTTCTTAACAAAATCATTCTCAGGACTCCAATGAAGATGCCAGCAGAGCAGAAGAAACACAGGACAAAATCTAATACGTAATCAGACTTAGGTGATAATCTTGGCTACTAACCACAATAACTGATATCCAAACACCACAACCTATGCCAAAAATGCTTCACACTTTTAGTTTACACAAGTGGGCTTCCTCGAGTGTAAATGAATTGCTTGGTTGAAAATATACTGTTCAATGGATTGTATTTTTATGCATTTCATGCAAGCACATGTTACCACTCTTTCCTCCTGCTCTGTATCTTCAACTGATATTTAACAATCACACATGGTTAGATTTTCCACAACTAAGCTACATAACACATCATTTTAGAACTTTATTTTCACCATTAAGAAACCTAACCCTTACTTAAATTTAGTGAAACATTAAATGTAATATATCATTTACTAATGATTTAATCAAAACATTTTACCTTTATTTTGCTGAATTTTTTACATTCTGCTTACATTTTTCATATCTGATCAATACTTTTTTTTCAACCAATGACTGGACTGCTATTTCAAACTCTCCAATCATGATGATTTTTGTGTAAAAAAGAATTAAGCTTATTGAATAGTTTACCTTTAGATATAGAAGAATCTATAGCATTAAAGGAGTTTAAGAATGGGTGACTAGAGTTTTATGGTTAGATATAAAAAATGAGATAGCCTGGATGTACCAAAAGGATTATTTGTAATCTCTTCAAAATGAGATTTAGGTTAGTAACATACGAGTATTCTTATGATTCATGAAAGACACCGTAAGCAGTGTAAACACCAATGAACACAGAAAATTACCTTAACTGCCCTCAAATGACTGGCAAATAAATTTATATGTGACAATGAAAGCAAATACAAGAGATAAATGATACAGTATCAAGCACAAACTCAAGTTATATATAAATATGTTGTACATTGTTCAATGAGACTGTAATACAATCATACTAAATCAAAAGAAGCTGAATGAGAAAGTTCCATTATTTTATGAAGCTTACAATAATTCGCTACCAATGTCCAATGTATGCTTGACATATATTCCTGTGGTAACAATGGAGTGAGCCAAAAATTAAATAATTAAATATATTACATACTGCCTGCTATACATGTTAGTATAAATGTTAGTTATTCAGAGCAATATGTTAATTTTTCTAATGTTTAACTGTTTTTAATTAATGACCATATATGAAAAGTAAAAGCACCAACAAGTTTTAGTGGTGCAAACAAATGATACATACAAAACCCATTTAAATGTTGGGTATCTAACTTCTGGAACACCCTGTACATAAAGTATGACTGTCTTTATTTTTGTTAAAAACCTACCTCAAGTTTTTTTTCTGGATTACTTGACTGATGAGGCTCCATTACTTACACAATTCTTTACTTTTCCAACTACAGTATGGTAAGATATAAATCAAAATTTAGAAATTCGTGAAGAAAAAATTTAAAAAAAATTAATTAATTAACTCAGACAATGAACAATACATTTCAATGAAACAAGCTAATTAAATAATTATTTCACCCAAAAATATGCATATATAAATAGACATAAATTAAACAAACAATAAAAAAATAACTTTGTGCAGAATATAGTTTAGGCACTGATGCTAACAAACAGCACATACAAAAGATAGCTAAATTATCAACAACATTTTGGGGCAAGTAACATATATATAGTGGATTGACCAGTTTTTATATTTTCCATAAATGTTATGACATCCTAACATAGATTTCTTAGTATCACACTGCACAATATAGGCTACTTTACATTTTGTTTAAGCTTTGGATCTCACTGAAGTTTGAGTTTCTTTGAAATGTCCATAAACACACACAGTCAGATTATAAGGTCCATTTAAGTACCAGCCAATGAATTAATTTGTCAGTGTTCTATTTTCTGCACAGGATTATAAGACTTCTATCAACTTGCGTTATCAAGCTGCCTACACTTACTTTATATATACAATGAGACTCCTGAACACAAGCTAGTTAACTGAAAAAATAACTTTTCTTCCTTTAATCAGAGTAGTACAGAAACAATATTACACAATATTATGAACATAAGTGTATGTATATAAAGACATGCATTGTCAATGAGGTATCCCAGCAACAAGTTAAGATAATAGTTAAAACTTAGGTACTCACATACAACATCAACATTCCCCTAGCAACATGTTCAAACAACAGTTAATGATATAAATAAAAAATGTCAGAGGTTTTCCTAGCACTGTTATAACTTTAGTATAAACACATACAAAGTCAATAAGATTCCCCCAGCAACAAGTTAAAACTTCAGTCCACACATGCAATGCTATGGTTTTCCTAGCAACAAGTTAAAACAGCGGTATACGAGTTGTATTAAATTTTCAAAGTCAACAAAGCACAAAAAAATTGACAAACAGAATCAAGTTCAAAGTCTAAATGGCACACACTGATTTTCAGGCAGCTAAAACAAATCTGTTCAATGTTTGTTATACAAAACATCTCAATTTCAACAATACCAAAATCAAAACTTATACACAAATTAAATTTTAATCTTCATTTCTACTTCAAAACAAACTCATTTCCCACAAAGTTTGGCATTTGTTAAAACAAACTCATTTCCCACAAAGTTTGGCATTTGTTAAAACAAACTCATTTTCCACAAAGTTTGGCATTTATTAAAACTTATTTTCCACAAAGTTTGGCATTTATTAAAACAAACTTATTTTCCACAAAGTTTGGCATTTATTAAAACTCATTTTCCACAAAGTTTGGCATTTGTTAAAACTCATTTTCCACAGAGTTTGGCATTTATTAAAACTTATTTTCCACAG